GCCTCGATAAAGAAAACTGGAGAAGAAACTCGCGACCGAGATCCCTTGTTCCCGACGCGGGAAACTAGGTTAAACGGTAAACGCCTTCGCGTAATTTAACAATTTCCCCTTTAAATCGTTCCTGCCGCGGTGTATAATTGCGGGGCCGGCAACCGGAGTGCACACTGCGAAAGCGCGAAAAACGCGGCGACAATTGAAGCGAGCTTTCGAAACTCGGTGAGAAAAAGATCTGCCACGTTCTCCGTCTCCCTCTATTTTTTATTCCACGTGATTAGTTTTCCGTACATGGCAAGACAATAGGATAATTTCCGACGTAAACGACAATTGCACATCGACACCTGGCGCAAATTTGCATACCGTTACAGACACGGCGTACCGTTCGCCGGATTTTGGTAGATTTTGTCGCGGGCATCAGTGATCTATCGCACATGGTGAATAAAGTTCCGTAACGCGTAACGTACGACTCGCATTCATTGCATTTAGTGGATTTTGAAGGATGAGAATGGAGCTTCCAATAATTAAGACGCATCGCGTTAAAATTTGTACGGTACTTCTTTTGAAAAATGCGTGGTCGACACGGTTTCGATGTTAGAGACAATTTCGCGAAGTTATGTATACTCCATGTAGGAAAATTATAATTCCACTAATATCGAGTTATTAAAATACGATACGCATTCCGTGGGAAGTAGCGAAAGCCGATTACAGGGCGTAGACGACTTCGTGCCAACATTTTAATAGAGAGGCATTGCGTAAACGGGTCACCATCGTTTTCGTATAATTTTCATAATTCGACGAGAGAATCTCCCATCTTCGTTCGGAACAAATATTTAAACTACCCTACGTTTCAAGCATTCTATAATTGCTTTTAGCCGACGAGCCGTCAGAGTCAATTTTAATTATCTAATTCCTATCGCTTCAACGTAATTAATTAGGAATCACGTTCTCCCGAACAGTACTCTGGATCGTGTAACTTTACCGCGTTTAAAGGGGAAACTTCGTTTCTTTAGATTTCAAACTGCTGGCCGATGTTATCAGAGTAAGTCGAACGATTATTATTTGATTCTTCAATATTTGTGGGATCGTTTAATAACCGATTCAACGTGGATCGACCAAGTTTTGTTACGTGAAAGAGAATGTATTGAGTAAATTTATCAAGGTTCCTAATCATTGCAAACGAAAAATAATAAATTCTATTGTGCCCAATTTCAACCTCGTATTTCCCGTGATCCCGTTTCACCGCGACGCGGCACATATTTAGGTTTCGGAACAACCAACGTGGAATCTCTTGAATTTAATTGCACCTGAACGAGTAATAGGGAAGTGCAAGCGTTGCAGATGATCGTAGCTCACGAACTGCTGACTCTACTCCGAACTGCGCCTTACCACTTCCGATCTTTTGCTTCTCAATAATTAATCCCGGCCCGCGTCCCCCGATTATCCTTCCTGTTCTCCCTGATCTGAGAACCGAAATCGACTCGTGCGTCGTTGCGTCACTGTGACGCGAAGGCGTCACCGACTCACGTTGGATTTTTTAAATGGTAATGGTAAATTCCTAAACAGTTTGATCAATAGCTGCTCCAAGAAAATACTTTAACAGTCAGCGTTCTATCATCGAAGCGCCAATCATAAATTCCAATTATTATACTTGATCGGTACAATGTCTCTACCGATGTGTCAAGGATCCACTCGAGACGAACTGTAACCATTAACTCGACTACCCTTGATCCCTCGTTACCTCCATTAACCAAAACGTTCGAACGAGCGTTTCGGATTCGAACAAAAAGCTCCCGAGACGAGGGAGCACGTAGTAAAGCGTTCACGTGTTTTCGCGCGGCATTAAAATTAATCTCGGGCCGGATCAACGGCTGGAAACTCGGAATCCGCTATTAGCAGTATATCGTCCCGGACGCGTTATCGCCGCGCTATTTGTCGACGAACGGATCAACCGAACAGCACGTTGTAAACGTCTTGGGCAAACAACGCGTCAGGTAGAACCCGGGATTCGAGAGACGCAGCACGTCACTAGTTCCGGGGTTGGAGGGCGGTGAATGGCGAACTTCCGGAAGCCCTGAGATCTTGCAACTTTCCGTCACGAGACGCGACTCCTGCTCGACTGCCGACTGCTCTCCGTTCAAACTGCCTGAGTTATGAGCTCGATCCGCGAATTCCACTCTACCGTTCTAGAATAATTATTGCGCCGCCACCCTCCGTCATCCCGCGCGGAACCGTGCAAGTTCTCGGCGCAAAGGACGGTTATCGCTCGTAAGAACTGCATAACTTTCCCTCCATGCTCGGAATTTTCACCGGAGAAGGGAGAAAGGAAGAGTCTATATCGATGCGTATCGAGATCCTACGTTCTCTCAGTGCGTTTGTCACAATTGCATCTTATCGTTAAACGTGTTTCTCGATATTTTCCTGCACGCATTCCGGGCTCCCTTGAGCTTGACAGCGCAAACAACTGAATATTTCATGATGGCTAACGAGAACGAGCAGGCGAGTTGGTATAAAAGTTGGCCGCAGCGTCTAGGTTCGTATAATTGATTTCAGTCGAACGTCGAGGAAGGAACATCGAGCCAAAGAGTGCTCTATCGAACCGGATATAGGAAAGTTTGCGGCTCCTTCGGAATGGGACTGAGTGGTTTAAGGGAATGAAAAAAAGAAAGAGGAAACATTCGGAACACCGCGAACAGACAGATTGGCCGACTACTAGGATTGACTGGTTCCTACGAGACGGCCAAGTTTTTTCAAACTTTCTCTCTCCTTCTCTCTTACTCTCTCATCTAACAACTAACCGATCTTCGACAGGTCGACCGGATTACACGGCCCGAGCCCCGCATCTATCCTGTACATCCGTCCGAGCAATTTAAAACTTTATAATTCGCGGATACAAATGTCTCGCGTCGCTGTTTGCTTGCTATCGGGACAGAATCCATGCTCGATCCCTGTCCGCATCTATTCGTCCGTTTTATGCAAGGCTTCTTTATGATCGAAGGTGATTCTACGACTCCATTCACGTTTGCAGCGTGTTATTACACGGTTACGATGTAAATCTCGATTAACACGTAAGAACCGATCCATTGAATCGATATACATACGTAAGTCGCCCATTGTTCGAGCGCTCCGCACCGCCGCGCCGGGTTTGTGGCTTCGTGCCCTCGCGCGACACTGCCACGGTCGTTTCTTTGTTTCGAGAACCGGTTGGGACCTTCCTCGAAGCTGAACGCGACGCGACGCATCCCGCCGAATCATATATGCAATCAGCATACGTCGAAACTGAACGCGTACGAACAATGCGAACACGGGTCCTTCGTTCACCGATGTATACCGATACCGATCCGTTGTCCAGTGTTAAAAAGGGCAACATACCTCCGGCACGGCGCGACGGTTCAATCGTGATCCTCTCACCTCTTTGTACACGGTGTTTACGATTTTTGCAGACGCGAGTTGCACGGGTTCTACCGGTACCGAGGTGTAAATAAGCAGCCGCCGTGATTGCGGCTGATTACAGGGAATCCCGGTTGTATTCGGTCGTCTTATTGCAGACACGGCCGACCGGGGCTGTGCGAGTCCGCGCCAGGCGTGAACCTTTGTCCAAATTTAATAATTCATATTTGCCAGGCTGCAGCGTATCGAAACGACCTCGAGACCGAACCGTACGGGGCGGGCAACCGGCAGAAAAATGTACGCCCATCGCGAAAATGATGGTATTACGATAAACATTAGCGGCTTCGAGGTATCTAGTAATTTTCAGGACCCGCGAGAATCCCTTCCTCGATCGAACGTCCGCGTGTTTATCAGCGCGCGCATTCCTCGAAATTTTTCCGTGTACATCAACGATCCGTGGCATTCCCGCGAGAACGAATCGCTCTTAAAAATCCTTTGACGCGAGCTTCGCGAAATTCCATGCGAAAAATGGAATACGAGCTTTAAAATTAGTAATCTATTCGTCGGATGCAATTTTGCACGATCTTTTGTATAAGTAAACGACCACTCGTCGACTATCTCTGCGTACGATCTATCGATGCCAATTTGCCTATTCACGTTGCCGATCGCAACCTACTTAAACCATCAATCTGTCAATTAAAAAAAAAGCGCAGGAACCCCTCGTCCGACCATCTATCTCGCAACCCGCAAAATTGATCACACCTGTTCGCGCTCCCCTTCCAATACAACCGGTCATTTTTCGAAACGGCTGATGCAGCCGCGATAAACCGCCGGCAATCACTGGCCGCTCGGTTAACCGGCGAGATTTCTCGCCTCTCAAACACTCGCTATAACATCGGCGACGAGCAACAAAGAGACTCGAAGAAAGCTGCCTCGCGTTCCTCGCGACGACGAATCGAACCGGCGATATCTCAGGGAACATTAATCGCATCGCGTTTACATACGTCTAGACTAGAACGAGTCGAATTAGATGGAGAGAGATAAATCTCGGCGAATTGAATTAGTTACCCCGGGATGAATTATCTTTTTCCGCCTCCGAGTGATCACGGTTCGTTAACAAAACTTTCAGGTTCCACTAATATTTTACGGTAAGTAATAACTCGAACCAATAACGAGGTCGCAGTAAATCGTCTTCTCATTCAAATTGCTCGCCGGCTGAATTAAAAACTTAGGGAACCTCTTACCGATTCCGCGCCCCAGGGAAGATTCACCTATTCCTAGACAACTTATACAACTAGAGTCATCCCACCACCCGCTGATCCAATTTCCATAAATCTAACCCCTCAGCCGTAACCCCTCTCCCGCATATTCAAACACGCTAACCGTACCCTTAACCGAAGAGTTTCCTTTGGTAAGCAAACGAATAGTGATACATTCGATAAAATATCTATCGATTTCGAAACTGTCCCTCCTTTGATCGAACTCGAGTACGAACTATTGCACGGGAGAAGGGAAAGTGTCGTCGGACTATTTTTAGAGGGCCGGTAGGCTGATAAACCAGAACGATTTTACTTTGCCCGTTCTTTTTCTTTCAAGTTATTCGTTATTTCACTCACCCTTTACGTTGCCTTGCTGGTCGTTGAAACGCCTCGCCTGTTCGTCGACCTCGTATTTCACAGGCACTCCGCCTTCTGGAAAAATTTAGAAAAAGAGGATACTCTTTAGATCGAATCGCGAAAGGAGGGAAACTGGCTCGATTGGACCGCGACTGGTCCTCTCGTCTCTACGAGACACTCGATGTACCGAAGCCTCTGGTTCTGACGTACGAACATGAGTGTATTCGGTTTCAGTAGGTACGGGCTTCGTTACAGGTTATATGGAGCGATACGAAAGATGATATTTCCAAGCACGTAACAGGTGACTCTTTTCTTTGTGAAAAGGGAGTTTTATACATGTACGAATATAGCATAATTTGTTTAGTGCTTTTAGCAACGAGCCGGACATGATTAAAAAACGGAGGAGTATTTCCGTATGTAATTGCGCGTGAAATTGTCGATTAAACAGTGTAAATAATTGCCGAGCGGTCGAATAAAATCGGGGGAAACGAATTACGAGCTCCGTGGGATTCGGAGAGTAGAGAGGCAGAACCCTAATGAAAATAAAAAATAGCGTTGTGTAGCAATCGTCGAAAAACACCTACTGCAGAGAATACGTTCCCGTGGAATTCCATTCCCGGATCGAATCGAGGAATCGTTTCTCCTCCGTTGCGTCGCGTCGTTCGGTCCCCGTGTCTGTACTCGATATCGTTCAAGCTCGATTTATTTTACGATATCAAACGATATCTGCCTCGCGTCACGGATTCCGGAATGTTGATGCTCGAGCTTAATCGTTTTTTACCCGACGTGGTCTGCACGAGAAAGCGTACTCCTCCTCGCGCTTCTCCCTTTTCCCTTCCATCTTTCTTTCTTCTCGTAGCAAGACTGATGCTTCCGAGAACGTCCAGTGTCGTTGGTTATCATGGCCAGTCGTGCGTGACGTGGCTAACAGCTCCGTTAAAAGTCACGTTCGCCAACCGTTTGACCTTGATAATGCAGGAATTTCATATCCACAAAGGAGTCGACTATACACGTGCGATCCGACCCTTCCTCACTGCCGTGCGAGGCAGCTTCGGATAGACATTCTTTGACAAATTTCGCAATTATATCCGCCGGCTAATGTAACAACGTAAGTCGGTTGATTAACTACCGTGGCTGACAGCCTCGCTCGAGGCCGGCCCTGGGTTATTCGTTAAACGGATGAAGACACGAGTTTTTGCGACGGTCGCCAGGCTTGTGCCCCGTTCATTCGGCCAAGCCTGTTCGGCAGGAGGATCTCGGGCAACCGACACGGAATCGGAATGTGGAGGAGATTGTCAGCTCAAATCGACCAAATGTCCGTCCGTGAAATTTCATCGAGCACCAATTCGCAGTACTGGTTAAAAAATTCTTAGAGGCATGACGCGTTGGTACGATTTTGTTGGATCAATTATGATATCGTTGAGCGACGACAATTTGCAATGGTTTATGTTCCTTCACAAGCTTGTTACAAGAAATTGCGAGCCGGCTACGTGTCCCCGTTAAATCGCCGGGCAGTTGGTCCCTTCTCAATTTTTGTTTCGACTCATATTAAGCTGCGAACATTCTTCTCCTTCTTCCTCCTCTCGCACCCGAGGAACGGAGAGAGGTCCCCTCTTTCAAGAAAAGCTTCTTCCTTTTACTTTTGCTTCTTCTTCTTCTCCTTCTTCCTTCTCCCCTTCCCACGAAGCGTGATACTTCGCACGCGGTCCGATCTTAATCTCCATAAGCTGGTCCGGCGTAATTTCGAGCCAATTACCAAGCGCGTGCAACATCTATCCGAAAGAAAATACAGGGTATCGTCGAGGAATCTGTCAGCAAACTTCGGAGGATCATCCTTGTCGCGAGAAAGAATTCACGGTTCAAGGTAAAAATATTCAGTGTTCTGTTCGTTTTGAAAATCATTCAAGTTTCCATCGAAGGATAGAAGTCTCGTTCGTGAAAAAAATATTAAGATCCTTTGAAAGCTTCCTGCACGAAATGTCTTCTGTTCAGTAGTTGCTTTTGCCAACTGTAACTTTTATCTCGTCTCCGACATTCTATTCTTTTTTGGATGGAACTCCTAGGAACGAACTCGAGCTGCCTAATCACATTTACACAAGAGGCCTACGTCTAATTCGGAGTTCTTTTCCTAATACCATTCTTTTCTAATGCAACGAATCGACATCAAACGAGACCGAAAGCGGCGAGCGAGCATCAACCGTCGTCCATCGAAACCGGCAGTTTCGTATGCAAATTGCGCCGCTAGGCAAACACGCGAGGTATAAGAGCCGAGCGAGGATGGATTCCAGCGGTCCTTTTCCAGCCCGAAGAAGAATCGGCGCGCACGCACGCGTGTCTCGATCCCTCGGCCGTCCATTTATTTCGCGCCGAAAGCAACAACGGACAACGTTATTCTCGCGCGCGAGAAACCAGGATAAAGCGCGCGCGAGTCTCTGCCAATCAAGAACGCCGCGACAACGAGCGTCGTCGAGAGGTAGGGTATAGATGTAAGTAGCGGCGGAAACCGAAGCTCTGGCTTTCATATGCAAATCCGGCCGAGCACACGTTTCGCGAGAGCCTTTTTCCCTGTCTCGAGCTCCAAGCAGCAGCAGCAGCAGCAGCAGCAACAGCAGCCCGGCCTCTCCGCGCTTCCAGTGAAAAATGATCTCGCCGACAATCGATTCGTTTCGCGGATCGCTTAGCCAACTTGTTTGCGCTCTTCTCCGCTCCTTATCTGACCGCTGTTTCTCGCGAACCATTAACCCTTCCCTCGGTGGATAGTGGATAGCCCGTGCCCGAGGTCGAGAGCAATTTGACGGCAAGTCGGACGGGCAGATTCGAGGTATGATTCAAATCGGTAGGATTGTAGTTTATGTAAGTACGGGATATCGACAGGGTTAGTTACGGGGTGCGAATGGATGGAAGATGGAGAGCCGGATTAGATGGCCGAATCGTGAGAAGTGAGAAGGGTGGAGTTTGCGGTGGCGATGCTTATTAGAGAGGAATGAATTGGAGGTGGCCTTGTTTTAGCCTTCTTCGAGTTGAACGTAGGTACAGACAGGAAGTTCCAGGGGATGATTTGCCAGATTGATTGATTGCAGATAAGCCTCTCCGTGAATATACGAGGAGCGTAATGACTGTATTAGCCGCGCATCAATTTTACTAATCAGTGTTTGCGGAACGATGAACGTTCCCGAGGGAGCAATCGATTTTTCAAAAACGAATCGATGGTTTAAATTAATCGGAGAGGAACAAAAAATTTGTAATCGAGGCGCGACTGAGTAAATTTTGAGTCGATTAATCGAAAAGCTTGCTATTTATCGACGGGATAAGTTGTGGAGGGGAAATTATCGCGTTGACGCGTGGACCATGGATAAACAAGCTCGCGCGTTCGGTAATTAATTAAAGCCGAAAATCTGCACGCGTAATTGCAACCTTTTCATTTCCTATCCCGCTGTTGTACAAAACTGTGCTGTATTAACGCGAGTCCGATAATTGTTTCGATGTACATGGCGATTGTATCACACATCCATGTTGTTTAACGTGTACTCGTCTACGATCTTCTTAGTTCTACATAAATAAGTAGAAGTGACAAGAGAACGATTCGGGTTCGGAGCTAGCTAGAAAAACGGAGAGAAGAGAGGAAAATCAATAAGGTCGAAAGGTGAAGTCTTTTCTCCTTTCTCTTTCGCCCTTCTTTTGTCTCCGTCCATCCACGAGCTCGGTATTCGGAACACCAACGTGGCATATTAATCTAAAGTAAATCGGTTCGTGCGCTTCGGGTTGCATAGCGGTATGGCACGAATTTCACGGAAACGGCAGCACGAGCGGTCTGTTAGCCCTCTCGCGTTGATTATAATTCTGGAGGCAAATACGTCTGTGGCTTATTAATGGGAGGCAATCTTTCTTAAGGTGGTTCGTTCATCGGCAGGAAATTTCTATAATTATTTTCGTCCCGGAGCTCGGAGCTCATTAGGTCGGCCGACGGCCGTGTCGACCCTTCTTTTACCTTTTCTACTTTCATTTCTCACCCCTTCTCGTGACCCACCGTTACGTAGTTCGTCTTCGTTTCTACCTGCGTCTCACCTTTCTAGCCATCGACCAGAAAACTGACTCCTCTCCCCTTCTGTTGCTCGGCCCCTTACGCACACGCCCATTCTTTCGCATTTCCCATCTCTGCCTGTTCGTCTCGAGCCGTCTCGTTGTCCTTTCCCGATGATCCGACGCGTTCTCTTTTTGCCAGCCGAAACGAACGACGAAACATCTGCATCGTTTATCTACCTCGGACACGAATCTCTCGGCCGCCGCGTGGTAATTATCGTTCGGCACCTGTTGGCGGAAACGCGATCCACCGTGTCGAGTAACGCGGCATTTGTTTTTTTTTTTCCACCTGGGTCTGTTCTGTTTTGGGGGGGAAAGATGAAAAAAATTTCGCGTACAATAGCAGTTGCAATAAATTCACGCGCGCCGCGTTGCCTCCGCGTCGCCACGGTGTTAAATATGGGAAATAGATAACTTTAAATTGAACGGAGGAAACAGGTTGTCCATGCGAGATCGATCACGGGGAGCGTGATTTATCAACAAACCGAGAATTTCGCGGGGCGCGATAACAATCGTGATGGATGCGACGGAAGCGAGAAAGTTGCAGGAGCATGCTCGACGAATTCGTCGTTTCCGTCTAACGACCGCAATTCGTTTCTTTATCAACGCGAGCGCGAGTTTAATTTCAAGCCGGAGACGTAGAGATAAGACGAGCAAAGGGCCAGGGGCGCGCAAAGAGTTCAAACTTTACCTAGCCTGTACAAAACATGAAGTGTTTCCAAGCGAGTAGTAGACGAGTTAAAAAAGTTGACGCTGTGGAAAAATTTGAATCTCCTTAGCCTCCTTTGGGGGTAGCGTTTCAAAGAAAAAGTGACGCCGTCGCATCCGCGTATCCCCAAGGCAAGGTGAGAGATAATAATTGGAAGCTGATACTCATTCAATGCAACAATCTTGATTACTCTTGAGACAGAGAGTTCGCCCGTTCCGCCGTGAAATCGTACCGGTTTCGGCGCGAAATACGTCGCTGGATGCGAAATTCGCGTCACGAAGAAGTT